ATTATTACAAGATAAATCATTTGCTTCATTGAACACATACAACAATGCATATTTCCACTGAGATCAGTGACCTTTGATGTGTATCACCAGTGATCAGTCAAGTAGAAACAGTCAAAATATTTTATCAGATTTTCTCAATTTTTGCATGATATTTTCATACAGGACATCTGTTGTTCAAACTCAGGGAAGACTTTATACTGATGAATAAGGTGACCAAGTTTGATAAAGTTTGGAATAGAATTAGTAAAGTTATTATGCACACAATAACAATTATTAACGACGACGACGACGACGACGACAACAACGCCGGACAAAATTTTTCCCTTAATATACCTTTCCCTTCCATCTTTGATGGTACGGGCAAGGTAATAATATATGAATGTGTGTATTGAATTGTTTTATACCTTAACAGTTGCTTTGAGTTCCTCAGCTTCCTGTTCAGCTAGACGTCTTGCTTTCTCCTTCTCTATTCTATCTTCTACAACAACTTGCTCATATTCTGCATACTGTAAATTGAGAAAAGTGCATACCGTTAGGGATGGTCAAAGCTAACTCGTAAAAGCACAACAAATTCTGGATATTTTGAAATCTACAATAGCATTAAACCCTACCCTCAAGGCCATTCTGAATTGGATTCAGTCAAAATACATACAACTTACTAAATGGTCAGCTTCAAATGTTTCTTCAAATAATCAAATAATTTATAACATAAAACACTGGCCTCTTTAAGACAACTAACCGTTACCACAAGAAAGCCATTTTAAAATGTGTCTACATTGTAGTATTCAGTAGCTAACAAAAGCACCAATCAGCACACCACCATTCCATTACATGCTTGTAGAAGTAGATGATCTGATTAATCATTTGCTTTCACAATGTTTACTCTTGAATATTTAGATTACAGTTCCCAAATACAAGCTTTGTCAGAGTATGTTTGGAGTGCAGCGGAAAAATGGAAGTCGCAGGTAATAATCTCGCAAACTAACAGGAAGTTCTTGTGTTAGTTTAGTGTTAGCATACCGGTAATCTACATGATATCTTTTTGTGCCAGCATATTAACTAGTCTAATTAATATTTTTACATTAAAGTTGAACTTTTAAGATAATCCATTTCTGTTTTTTGGTGACTAGTATGTGATATACAAACATTGTAGCAAATATCAACAATTTTCAGCACATCCAAAAATTGGTGATCATTTTCATTGAATTATTTGAGAATGAACTCAAGGTGAGAAACTAACTGACTTACTGTTTTGGTTAGTTCCTGTAGTCTAGCTAAGTCATTAGCTTTGGATGCCTTCAACACATCCAATTCATGTTGTTTAGTTTCTACATCTGTATCATATTTCTCCATCCAATATTCTAACTTCTCTTCTAAATCCTAGAAATCAAAAAACGTATATATATTAAATAAATGAATAAAAACAAATCTCTACTCTTTCAAGGTACTCACGACAATATCACATACAGATATCATTGAATTTCACATTGAAAACATGTTATGACCATGACTACATGTACTTCTAATGGCAGAAACAATTGCAGGTACTCTGACAATGCTTTTTGATGTGATTGAAATGGCTGATTATTACAAAGTGCACTAAAGGGGTTTATCGGGCCTAGATGGCCTCCTGAAATTTCAAGTTCAGATACAGTATAGGTTCATTCTTACCACATGATGTGTTTTCAGATATTGTTCAATTTCTTGGTTTACTCTTTCCTCTTCCTCAATTTGGCGGTGAACTCTCTGTTAAGAACAATGAAGCAGATTTATGATATGATAGTTACAATACATCCAGTCTAAATAATTCCCTTATCTATTGTCTACACAATATGTTATCAGGAAATTACTATATGATGGGGCAAGTACTGCAGCTAATTCCTTTGGTACATGTACGATCTCTGCCTCTATATTTCAGATAAGCATTTTACCAACCATTTTGGCACATAGTTTGTCATGGTGTAGTGAATTCCATGTAATGAACACCACGTATCATGTCATAGTGTAGAGAATTCA